GACTTTCTACATGTTCATTTGTTCTAAGCATGGTGATAACTTCTTATTGGAACAATTTTGTTGTGACTACTTGAAAATATTTGTCAAATGATTCAAAAATCTATGTCATCTCACTGTTGGCATCTATTGATTTTTTTTTCTATTCAGTTTAAGATTTCACTGGTTCTTGATATGATGATTGATCTTCTATTGTAATTAGACATTTTTGTTATTTAGTTATGAGTTATGTTTTAATGATATTGAGTGTTGCATGACCATGTTACTGTGGGAAACAGGTGTGCATATGTAGGTGGTGACTTATTTAGGTTCAGTTAATGATGCTCTCAATTGTGTTCAGAGGTCTCACGAGTTATTGACTCATTTATGCCTAATGTTCTATTATTGGAACGCTAAGCATGTGGGAGTTATTTATATTTTCCTGCTCAAAGTCATCACCAAGGTCTGATTGCAAACATTCAAAAAATTGCAGTCTCAGGCATAAATGGGTTAAAAGCCTTTAAGCAGTAAGCAGAGTGAGGAAGATAAATTCCAGATTTTATCCTGAAAATGATACCTATAAGTTAGTAGTTTGTCCAAATTCTCAATAATTGTTTTTTTTTTGAGTGAAGAAGTTTATTACCTAGGTTAGAAGGTGGGAGTATGCAGCATTTTTCTCTTTGACTCCTGACCACTTGTGCGCTTGATGGACGAAAAGGGAGAGATAAACATCCTGAACTTAGTGGCTGCTGGTGTTAAACTGTTGGTGATACTGGGCTATAGGTTGATTGGTGTAGATTACTGAGTTCAGGTAATCCTGCTGGGCTTTTTGCTCCTGAGCCAGCTTCTGGTTGAAGGAGCCTGGACCCCTCTGAAACTGAGCACACAATTCCCTCTCCTGCTCTTCTAGCTCTGGCATTGCCTGGGCCGAGCTCATGGTCTGGCTTTTCCATTCAGTAGCCAATGCTTTTTCAGCCTGATGTTGTGCTTCCTTCTCAAAGCGTTGTACTTCCTGCTCTTTCCTGATGGCAGCTCGCTGCTCTGGAGTCATGCCCTTCCAGCAATAGGGCAGGACCCGGTGGGGAACTGTACGGTGTTGGGCAACCTGGGGGTTCTCAGTCAGTAGGTCACTCGTGCTCTGGTTCTTTACCCTCTCTGTCAGCCAATGACTTTGCTTTGTATCCCACTTAAAACACAGAATTAAGCAAAGCTACAAACCACCAAATCTACCCACCTTCCTTGAGTTGTGCCCATAGTACTGTGCCTCACCTCCTGCCACTTGAGATCAATTGTCAAGGTTTCCACTTTTGCACCAGATCTCACCCTTCTCAAAAATACAATTTCTACAATTGTCCTCAGATTTGATACCACCTCCATCTCATGCCAGCAATTCTACAAATATATACTAATTTCATAAACCTTAGGAAAACATTCTTGATTTCCTATTTACCTGTTCCTCTGCTCCCTTTTAGAAAGAAAAGTAGGATTTCTTCTCCAAAGAGAAGCTGCCTGTAGTAACTAATAACTGCACGTGCAATTTCTCGTGAAGCCATTCCTGTGAATCTTTTGTTTCTACTTCTCCACAAAAGCACTCTTGTAAAGGATTAAAATGGCCTCTGTGTTGCTATATTCAATGGTCAACATCCAGCTGTCATTTTACAGGATTCCCGGTTTTCTCTCTCACTTTCTTAGAGGCAGCTATAGTTATTTCTTCTTTGCTGGTTCTTCCCCTCATCTTTCTGACATTTTTATACTGTGGAATCTCAGTGATGAGTGCCCATTTTCTCTGCCTACCTACGCACACCTTGATCTTCTCATCCAGACCACAGTGCTTTACCTACTATCTATATGCTGACAGAAGCTGAACTTCTATTCTGAACTCTAATTTTTTCCGTAAATCTATACTAATATATGCAGCTCTCCCCTTATCACCTGTATGTCTAATATGCTTTCAAATGTAACATACCCAAAACCAAAATCTTGATCTTCACTCCCAAACCCGATTTTCCCACAATTCCTCCATTTGTAGAGCAACGCTTTTTTCCCCCAGTTATTGAATCTACTTTCAAATCTAACCCCTTTCCATATAGAAAACTTTGTAACTTCTCCTCCTCCTTTCAGTCCATTTCACATAAAGTTCATTCTCAACAGTCTAGCCAAAATCATCATTTTCTGACTTAAGTCAATGCTTGTCACTCCTCTGCTCAAAAATTTACCATGGTTTCCCATGTCATTCATAATGAAACTCATAAAGGCTCATGCAGTATGTCAAGTGTTTTCTTTGACCTCACTGTCTGCTAATTACTTTTTAATTCATTCCATTCCAGACACAATATCCCTTGTTTTTCTTCAGACTCTCCTGGAATGTCCCTACCTCTGGGCCTTTAAAAGTATAAGTGTTACATCTGGAATATTTTCTCACAAACATGGAAATGACTCACGCCTTCATCTGTTTCAAGTTCCGTGCACAAGACAACATGGATTTTCCTGTCCACAGCCCCTTGAGTAGTCTTTGCAGTCTTCTCTGCTTTCTTTCTCAACTGCACCTATCATATTCTGACACGTTATCCTTAATGTATTTATGCCTTTAGTCACATTTTGTCTCCTGTCACTGGAGTGTAAATCCCATCAGTACTGTTTTGTTCATTTTTTTGTTTTTGTCTGTTTTTTTCATTGCTATCTTTTAAGAACAATAAAAAAAGAGTAGATGCATAGGAAGCACTTGGTATTTTATTGAGTGCATGACTGTTTACATTTTTTGAAGCTAGCTTATGTTTGGTGAGATTTGAGGGCTCATGACAATCATAAGACTTTTTTTATGAGGGAAACTTGTAAGTCTGTAACTTGGCGGAAGCTATCGGAGGATGAATAGATAGATGTTTATCATCAGTGGATGCCTGATAGGTGGTAAGAATGCAGGTCTAGTTCCACCACAGTGTGAGTTTACTTACATAGAAGGAATCACTGACACCCTAGGAGCGGAAATGGTTGCCAAGGCTGCTCACTGAGGCAGAGGAAAGATGTGTGGATATTGGAATGAAGAGCCAAACTTGGATCCATCTTGGTCTCCTGCTTTCTCTTCCAATCACCCTCTATTAGTTCCTGTCTACCACTTTTTCAAAAAGGGTGTAAAAAGGTTAAAGTGTCAATTTATATCAAATTATTGACAAAAAATTGACAAGATAGGAATAATTGAAAACTTTTATTTTTGTAAAGATGCCTGGATACTTAACATATTTAAGGGTTGTTATTTTTGGGAACCAAAATATAATCCCTATTTTAATAAAGATGAGGTACTATTACCTTTGAGAAAAAGTTATTTGCCATACTATTTTTACCCATCCAACAATATTCTCATCCTTATCAATAGTGAATTGTTTATTTTTGTGGTTGTCATTTTATTTTTTAATAACATGCAAGAACATTTTACATTTTCCCCAAATTTCCAAACCTTTCACATCAGGTGGACTTAATTTGAGATGATATAGAAAGTATTCAAAATTCGTTTGCGAAATAACCTGACTACACCAAGAATGATGGGGTGAATGGAGGATTTTCAGGGTGAGTTAAGGCAAAGGGAAACTTGCTCATATGACATATATGACTAGTGCCACTGAAGTGAATTATTATAAATAAAGCTTCGAAGATAATTACAATGGAGTTACTAAAAACTTTTTTGGTGTAAACAGCTAAGGGAAGTAGAATAGTTAAATGAATAACCTTTTCTCTTCTGTAGAATAAGTTACTGTTTCACATAGGAAACTATCAAATACTGAAGGTTTGAAGGGAGCTACTGAGAAAGCATAGCATTTCTTCTATGTGATAGATGCCCCTGAATATACGTTATGGTGTATTGTACTCCTATTGCATGACCTGAGAAAATACTACGTGGATGAATTATTTTATTTAAATAACTACATGGTACATTACAGATATTATGATGTGTCATAATATATTGAATATTTTGTAATATTTTCCACTACCACTTAAAAGTTGTAAGCACAGTCAGTCATGTACCTATCAAGTATAATTCTATACTCTTTATTACATATAAGTAGTGAAATATATAATAAAATAGCAATGAGTTTGTAAGAATTTCATATGCTTTATTACCTTCTAGTTATCCTCCTTGTGATAAGTTTATCATACTTATTTCATTAAGCACATAAATGTATTAATCTTTTAATCATCTTGAATTAAAACATGATTATGTGATTATTGATGGTCTTTAATAAAAATACCAGCAACATCATCTTTGTAAATCCATTCTGAGCCTTGCTTTATGGTATTAGAGCTGTTTTGACATAATTAAAATTTGAAATAACTTTTTTCTGTTTTCACTGTATTATATATAATTTGGTTGCCACTGGTAAATGGGTTAAAAATTTCCATTGATATTTAAATGGGGAACATATTTCTAAAAATCCAAAATGAATTAGTGAGCTCTAGTTGATTTTTTTAGTAAATACGCCACATACACCATTAAACAGCCAGCCACAATTAAAATTAATGATTAAATTATTTTTTGAAATTGAACCATTTGGCTCCTCTGATTATACGAGTTCATACCCCCTTCCTTCTAGCATTTCTTATTCAGTTTCTTATGGCAAATATTAACTCATTCTAGATAATAATCAAAAATAGTTTTAAACTGTTCTAATCCACGTTTATCATCTGATGTGTGCATAGAGATAAAAATACTTTTAAATGTATGTCCAAATCTATCTTTAATTATACATTATCAAGAGTAAAATTTTGGCAAAATATATTTATCAATGCTAAAACAACATTCATAGATGATAAGAGAGATCAGTCCTCCTACCTCTTATCCACCACGTATTGAAGTAACTTTTCAATACGTATGATGTTTATATGTTGTCCAAGAAATGTCTACATTTGAAATTAGTTTGCGTATGTTAGATATCATAGATTTTAGATAAGTGTATTGAATTTGAAAAAAATCTAGCTATCATCCATTTTTTAAAAGATTAATATTTATTTTATCTGACCTGTTTTTCTTTCAGGAGTTGGAATTTTCAAATTTATTTGCTGTTCTTCACTGCATTCATTCCTTCTTTGCTGCCAAGGTAGCATGTTTGGACCCTCTGTTTTTAGGCAATCAGGCTTCTGCTTCTGCTGCTGCCAGCTCTGCTACCACGAGCAAAGCAAAGTACACAACTTGACATACTAAGCTCTGCATTGATACTCACCATAACTGTATAAACAGAACACATTTATTCATCATTTTAGACCCTGGAAAATCCATAACATGTCAACAGTGGAGGAAAAATTGAAATTTCAGCAGAAACAAAGAAGGTCATGTGGAATCTCAAAAACACTTCTATTTTGGATGGCATCTGTAACATATAACACATGAACAAAACAGCTCGTTCTCACTCAGTTGCTTTGTACCAGTAACTATATTGCTTTCACCAAAAGTGGAGACAAAAGAATGAATTATTTGAAGAAGTATGTAAATAATATAAAAATAGTAAGCTACCTATAAATAAAAATACTTATTAAATGGTTACTTCTGTATTTTAGATTATTTTGTATGACAAGTACATGTTGGGCAGAGTCATAAACTAATGCCCTATCATTGTATTATGAGGGCCATCAAAGAGTTAAAAATCATAAATCAACAAGGAGCATGCAAAAAAATCTCATCAAAGAAGGATGCACTTTCATTTGCTGATGTAAATATGCCCTTGTGTTCTCATCCCATGATTGACGCTGGCACTCCAGTGGTTTTTATCTTATTGTAAATATTCCAAAGAACTTCAAAAAGATAATCACATTGACCTATGAGAGATACAATGTGAAATGGACTATTCTCCCTTGGATCAGTGTTACTGAAATGGCTTATTTGCTGCCAATGTCAATCTACTATGCCAAAAATGTATTAATTTAATTACGAGTGATGAAAAATTTCATGAACCTCTCATTTCTTCCTTCATTTTAAAAAGACTTATATTTTACCTAATAAGATTTATTATCAAAGCTCCATAAATTTTCAATGACCCCCAAACCTTTTGTAGAGAAAATAATATAAAAAATACAGTGTGAGAAACAATTGTTTGTAATCTGAAATCTACTAGTAAATCATGAACTGAAATGTCCCTAGAAAGCAGTCCCAAAGCTATTATATATGTTAGTTAAATGACATTTTTCCATTTTAGTACCATTTTATGTGGAACAAAGGTGATATTTAAAGATAAACATTAAAAATCTTTATCCTCCCTTGTCATGGAAGTGATTAAGTAATGCCAAACTATGCAGGTTATTTTAGATAGTTTGTCCTAAGAATGTAAATGTGAAAAGGCTGGGAAATTTGAAAGCCTTAGAGTTGTGCAATTTACTCAGATTCCAGGTACAATTATACAGCTAGTTGTATAACATGAAACACATTCTCTATCCTTTAGTATAGCTTTTTTGAGACCTTCTTTTAAAAAGTCAGCTGTGTATGTAAAAAACAAACAAACAAACAAACATTTTTATTGATACACATGCTCCTAGGTAAACCAAACATTACATGTGCCCATGTGGAGATAATCAAGTATCTAATAAAGTGATTCAATATTTTTTAAAAATATGTTAAAAAAAATCCCTCCAGGCCAGGCACCTTGGCTCCCGCCTGTATTCCCAGCACTTTGGGAGTTCAAGGCGGGCGGATCACAAGGTCAGGAATTCCAGACCAGCCGGGCCAATATGGTGAAACCCCATCTCCACTAAAAATACAAAAATTAGCCAGGCGTCGTGGCTTGTGCCTGTAGTCCTAGCTACTCAGGAGACTGAGGCAGGAGAATCACTTGAACCCAGGAGACGGAGGTTGCAGTGAGCAGAGATCATGTCACTGCACTCCAGCCTGGGTGACAGAGTGTGACTCCGTTTCAAAAAAAAAAAAAAATTACTCAAGAAGGAAACATCATTTTTTCTATAACGGACAGATCCATTAAGTTAAAAAATTTAATATCAAGTTGTTTTCATACTGATTATGATTCATTAATTCATTTTGAATCAAATTAGTTTGTAAATACCTCAAATTGAAAAGAAAATATGGAAGTTTATAATTATCCCTTGGAAAATGTTAAGCCGAATCTAACATACCTTATCCAAAGAACAGTGGCAAATTACAATAAACAGTTTCAATGTAATGTATTTGACCATAAAACTAATTACACATTTGTAATTAGGATAGAACTTTGGAATTATTGCACACTATACTGATCAAACACACAACCATTGTAAAATTGAAGCCCACCAAAAGCAGGCTTCAGTAGTAGGCCACTTCTGAACTTACGGAGAAAAAGCAGTGGGATACATCGACTTAGAATTTTCAGCTGTGGTATGTGGTTCACTACAGAATTTCAATTCCAGCACTGAATCTCAATGTGCCCCATATTGGGGTTACATGAATGTGTCCACAATGTGATAATATGATCTGAAGGCAATATGATTTGGTTTAATCATCCATAAGCAAAAGAAAAGTTTCAATAGTTTACCTACCTGTAATAGAATAATTTTTAAAAATGTGAAATTTTATAATTGTTCCATTTTAAAATTTAAAAAACCTATTAACTATCTTTTTGTGATATCATGAAAATTTAGCCTGTGCTCATGTGTATGAAGGAAAAGGCACACAATGAGATATGTATAAATATATATCTCCTCGATGAATATACACATACCCACATATGTATATGCATATATATGTGTGTGTATATATATATATATAAATATAATGAAATGCTGACCATTAAATATATTAAAAGAACATGTTTTGTGTACATACATTTAATATACTTTACATTGTAAAATGTAGTTTAAAAACCTATGACAATACCGTTATGATTATTTTTGATACTATTGATTAAAAAAAAGCTGAGATTTTTATTTAACATGATTAGTACAATAGCCAAAAATTAACAAAATACTATTCTCATTTTCATCAGTTTAACAATTAATGTTTCATGTTTTCTTTACAATGTGATGATTAGTCATGGTTATTTGTTATAACTTGGATTACTTGAATGAAAAAGCTTAGAAATGAACAAAAACACTTATAAATTCCTATCTCTCATGTAATTTAGGTTTACATGCATGAGATTTATTCATCAAATCCTGGTTTGTAAATTGAGCACATTTTAACAGCAAAATGCTAATGTGTTAACCCCTCCAGTGCCTTGGTATGTGTGATTGTGTCTGTGTGTTTGGGTGTGTGTCTGCGTGTGTGAGAGTGTGTGTGTGTGTGTGTGTAGTCATTAAAGAGTTCATTACAGTGTATATAACACAAGCTTAACAGGGAATATTGTAGGTATTTAGGTCAGAGAATGAAGTTCAAAGTCATTTGAAAACTGCTAACTACTATAAAAATGTCTTTTGCCTGATCAAGTATAACAATTCATCTAAGCAGAAGTATATTACAGCAAGGACATTTATAATTTGTTATATTACAACAAGTATTTATTTAAAAAATAATCTAATAGATAGTGTAAGTGTAATGTATACCCCAACATTTTTAAAATGGGAGGATAATCAGGCAATTATTTCTTGCCCATGTTTAAGGCATGTACCAACTTATACTTTGGAAACCTTCGCTCATAAGCTGTCATTCAGCAAGAAAAGAAAGCAATTACTTGAAAGTAAATTTCAAGTCCATATTAGCCATGCAAGCAGAGAAATTTTCCTTTGGGTGCGTTAGATTATTGATCAACATTTTCCTCATTTACAAGGCTGAAGCTTGATTATAAATTTTGTCTATGTTGAATGCTGGATTTAAGAAAAGCTTGATTTATTACTGACAAAAATTAATAATCCTAACAATAATTTAGAATTACTGCTAGAAATCGGCAGTGTGGAGAAGCTTTAATAGCACAAGAATGATCTTGTGCTTAACTTTTTAAGGTAAGTGTAGATGTTCTGATATTAATAACATTTTGCTACTATTGATACTGCTGTGCTCATAATTTCTCCTTAAGAAGTTGCTTTATTCATATCTCTAAAATTGTTCTTTATTGTTTATTCTTACTACTGAATACTTTAAAACCATAATGCCACTTATTTGCACATTTGAATTTGCTTTTGAAAATAAAATATTATAAATGTTATATATTTTATACATATTAAAATGTAATGAAAATACCAGAAATATAAAATGTAAATATATTTATTTCATTTTAAATTGTTTTGGTGGATGTTTGTAAAATGTAAATTAATATCTGTGACAAAAATTTGTCACTTCGTTCTTTCAGTTCATTAATGTACTACTAATGAAACCATACTTTTTTAAATGAAGCATACTGGAAAATAAAAACAAATACTTTTTACTAGATTTGGGTTTTCCTTTCTTTGGGCTTGATTTGTAAGTTTTACATATGTTTAAAACATGATCCTGAGAGACTTAACTTCAATGAAAGGTTTAAGATATGAACTGTCTGAATATAAGTGCAGACCATGTGGTACATAATCTGTTCTTGTTGACCAATATTTATGAAGAATTATGACTCCTAAATATTCCCAAACTTTGAAGAAAGATGCTATTAGTCAAAGTATTTACCCAACTGAGTTACAACTTCTGAAAAATATGACGTTTGGTATCACTGTGACTTATTTATCAATTCTAGTGACCTTTCTGTAGATTATTAAGATTTTCTATATTGACATTCATGTCATCGACAAGAGATCCTATTTCTTCCTTTTTATTAAGTTTTAATTTTGGCTTCCTATCATATTACACTGGTTGAAACCTTCAATTTAACACTAAATTGTTGTTTAGCACTAATTGTAAATTTCCAAAAGGTTAATGAGAAACAACAGGGACAGACCTGAACAAAAGGAAACACTTCCTGAGTGAGAGACAGCTGTTGTGTTAGGCTAATTGTGTATCAAGTAATAAGAAACTGTCTAGGAAACATAGCAAAACTATTCTCAGTAAAGAAAGCCATTCCCCCAATAACATATAGATTATTTAACAGTGTTTAGAAGCAAAATTGATATTGATGGAACTGTTAGCTTGATCCAGACTTTTAACTGGATAACATGCCACAGAATAGAGCTCTCTCTTTAAAGTACATCTTGTTTGCAAGGTGTGACTTGCTACCAAATAGATTGCGTGGGAAGATGTCTTATCATAGCAGAAAATTATCTCCAATGGTTCATATCATGGTAGAGAAGAATGAAAATGTTCTGAAAGATGAAAATTCTTCTTCACTATTTGTACCATATTTCTTTTTGTTTTCAGATTTGCATTGATTCTTTATATTAGTATAATCAAATTAATCTCTTGAGATTTCAAGATCCATTCAAGTAATTAACATCCTGGAAATACTAACACAGATACAATAGATGTTTTAATTAGCAAAAATAAATACTCATTTCCATTGTTAAAATTTTTAAATATAAGCGGTGATTTAAAATATTACAAATTAAGTAATATTTGAGGAATCCTCTCTTTATTCTATACTTTAATAGTTGATTTCTCACGTGGCTTTGTAATGGGTCAATCTGTCTTACTGAACTACACTGTTCAGAAATTCCTTTCTTGTAGACGTCCATTGAGGGTAGCTACAAGAGACATTTTGCATGGTATGTGAACAGCAATCGTCAAGCAACATACTGCTGTTATGCTTGGTGTGTAGGCACGGGGACACCAGGCACTGCTGTAAGTCACCCAGGTGACTGGTAAGTTGCCCAGCTACTGCTCCACCTCACTGGTATAGAGCAGCAGCCAGGCCAGCTCTCCAAAGAGTCTTCTTTCAGTTTCTACCACACCTCGGCGGGTGCATGGTTAAGCCCTGCCTTCTGAAGGACAATCATATCTTTAAGTTGGAAAGTGAGAGATGATGTAGTTTTCAGTCCCTCTGTTTGTCCTGCAGCTCCTTTGTTGACGATTCCGTGTTCTAGTTTAC